CTCAGCAGCTGGTGTGGAGGAAAATGGAAACAATGAGAATGCGTGGAGCAGGGACTTCTGGAAGTCCCGCACAATGGCCCGGAGCTGTAGTGGGGGTTCTGGCAGGTGGAGAGGCCTGAAGCCTGGGATCGTTCTGTGGACTCCAGCTTGTCCCACCTTCCTTCAGTCCGCCCCTCGTCACACGGCCATCGGGGAGAACCTGGCCGTTTTCTGCTTCGGTCTCCAGCAGGGCTGTTCACAGCTTTGCTTTCTACCCTGACTGCACACTGTTACTCCAGTATTGTTTGCCACTGCCCATGCCCGATTGCGGCCTCTTCAGCTGACTTCTCGCAGGGCCACTTGCTTGTCCTGGGGTACAACCGTAGGTCCTTCCTTACGAGCTGCAGGGTCTCTGACACCTCAGCGTCCACACTTTGCTGCTCCTGTTTGTACTGTCGACAGTAGAACTTCCTTCTCTCGATCCTGGTAGTGCATTACAGGCAAGCATGAAATGTAAAATATTTATTTAAAGAAAAAGAAAACCTCTCAATTGGTAAGTGATTACCTCTCTGTAGCTTTATAGTTTGTGACATTTCTCGACCTTGCTAGTTCTTTCCTTAGATCCAGGCAAGATCTAGTCATCTGGTTAAGGGTTTTAAGCAAACGCAACTTTAAACCCAAGAAAAACTGTATTACTGTTGGTCAGACTCAAACTGTTTTATTTCCTTAAGTATATGACCCACAAGGATGTGAAATAACTACAAGACACTGTTTTTGTACACTGTACATCCTTAGTATTTTTACACGTATATGAGAGGGATGCACATTATTTTCCTTCGTACAGACAGCTGAAATAAAGCACTATGTCAATCTGCTACTTCTCTGTTTATTGTTGTTGGACGTGGTCTGTAAGCTCAGGAAAAGAAAAGTTTTGAATAGCCCCACCTGGCAATAACCTACCCTCTGTAAAATGTGATAGGAACACGCGTACATTCCTTGTGGTCTAAAACACACCGGGTGGTTTCCTTCCTTCCCTGTGGTGGCACCGGTGCAGCGAGACCAGCCGTGGCAGAGGCTGCTTCCAGACAGATCGACGGCGCTAGGAAGGGCAGAGGCAGGTTTGCTGACACCCTAATAAGCCTCACAGCAAGTGGTTTGGGGACTAGAATTCTTGGGGAGTATAGCTGGCTCATCCGCTGACACCTTCCTGATAGTGCACTGCTCTGCACCCTTCTTTCCCCAGAGCACATGTAAAACTTCTGGCAAATGCACAGACTTGGACATGGGGAGGAGAGGTAGCTTGAGTGAACTACAATCTCACTGACCTGGAATCCCTTTGGAAGGGGCCTTTTTCTGTTTTACCTCAGAGACCAGTGTAACCTACTATTTTAGACACTTGGCTTCACTCCTTGACTAAGGCAGACGGAGGAATGGCTTCTGGGACCAGAGTCCTCCAGGGGTGTCGTGCGTGCCCACACGCCTGCGGGGCTGCCAGGGCTGAGGGCACTCTTCGCACGGTCTTTTCTCAGAACCACTCGGGTGGACAGTTCCAGGCGGCTAAATTACAGTGACCTCCATAATTCTTTAAAGGTGCTATTTTTAAAAGATTGTGTGATTTATTCACGGTGTTCCTAAAGCAGATTTAGGGACAATTATCGTATCTTATGTGGCAGTCTCTCTGTCTAGCACATTTGATGAAGTACAGAACTTCTGAATTGGACGCTTTCCCACGCTCCAGCGACTCAGGGGCTCTGTGTTCGTCGTGCCACCGCCTCCCAAGGCGCCCGAGCCATGTGGGTTTGAGAGGGGACACTGAGCTCACGCAACGTCAGATCCGTGTCAGAAAAGTACTACCAGTGATGATGATGATGATGGCGGGGAAAACCGCCAGCAGTGAATGACATGTCCCAACAGTGGTCCTGCCGTTAGCATTTTATTATCATTCTCAAAGACAACACGACATTTTCGGGGTCCCATTTTTATTACTTCAAAGCATTTGCAGGCTTACCTATGTACAGTAGAAATACTATTTTAAGCTAAAGTATTGATCTTTGTACAGAAATTCAATATACTGTTAGGTTAAACTTTCTGATTTCTTAATGTACATATTTTTAGGCTCTTCTCAAATACTGCATATTGAAGAAGAAAACTGATACCACAAGGCCAATGATGCTTTCTGTTTTCCCTACTCTTCTTTCGAGAATGGAGCAGAGGATGTCTAGTGCTCCCGGTGTCTCTTTACTGCGCATGTCCAGGGAGGATCGTAAAGAACACCAGAATCGTATGGGTCGTGGCAAAGTTGAAGGGAGATCCCCAGTTCAAGCATAAAAAGCAGTCTGTGATTCCCATCCAAAGATCGAGTGGGACTCGGCCAGTAAGTTGCGTATGGCCCACCCAGAGGGCTAGACAGTTTGCAGCTAATGCAAACAAAAGTGCCTGGGACCCTTTGGGTGGTGGGACTATGCCAGTAAGGGGTGTGGGACGCTAACAAGGGGTTAGTGTTGCCATCCGCTAGGCTTAAAGAGGAGATGCGGAAAGGGGGTGTGTGCATGGAGCCGTAACACAGAAGACAGCACGAGCCGTGTGCAATGGCAGAGAACTGTGGTGGGGCTTGCTGACCATGAAGCAGGCTTGTAACACTTGCCTGAGAGGACCCTGAGCTGGTCCAGCAGCAGAGGGAGATAAGCTGTCCTGCTCAAGAACTGTGTCCCAGGTTGTTCCTCTTAATTCAGAGCCATTTCCTGAGCCCAAGCTGTACTGGTACGTCCCTAAGAACCCACTTACAAAGTACGGGACAAGTTCTGTGAGACGGTGCAGCAAATGGAGGAAGACTGGAGAAAGACGCTGGGGGTGGGTGAGGCCCTGGGCGCGAGAGGCGGGACTGACCGCCCAGGTGTGGAGAAGGGGGCACTGCAACACCTAGACCATCTGCCTCATGCGGTCCAGATTTCTGCAGATCCTTTTATAAGAGAAATTATTCATCTAGACAAACAAGGTTGCTATGTGCTTCAGTACACCTGGGCCTAATTAAACTATGTGCCTTTTTGTTGTGTTCTGTTCATCACTACAAGGTAAAAAAGAAGACATTATAATTCAAGTCTTTAAAAAATGTATTTATTGGAATTCATATGTGTAACAGCATATAAATGAGCAGGTTTTAAATGTATAATTACCTGCAGAATTTTTGAAAACATGCACAGGGAGGTAGCTGTCCTCATTGAATAGCAAGCTTCTGCTCCAGCCTTTCTGTCCATAGTTCAGGCGGCCCTCGGAGACCACAGGGCGCCTGTGCCACCGTGGTGTGAGGCGGCACGGCACTAGACGGCATGGTGAGGGGCGGCGTGTTAAAGGAGATGACTGTAAATATCTCTGTAAATCACTGGTTTCACTCTGTTTCATCCAGCTCAGCAGTCAGATTGTGGCATGCTGGGCAACTGGGAAAAAAAAAAAAAAAAGATAATAAAGAATGAGTTTAAATATATCCCGTTCTTCAGAGTGACGTGTCTTCTCATTTACAGACCTGTACCCCTCTTGTGAGAACAGGTTTTGGAGAAAACATTTCTGTTGCTAAAAACTGGACACATGGAAGCAACTGTATACAATTCTTGAGCCTTATCTTGACCACAGATCAAGCTAAGCCTTTGCCACCTATTCATATGATGTTCATAATTTTGTTTCAGTGGTTTAAATCTGCAAACAACTTTCAGGCACTTGTAGGCCTTTTGATAAGGACAGTCTGGTTTTAGGATATGGCCAGCCGGCTGTCTCCTCTCTGTCTAGCATTGGAGAGGCTCCTGTGGGCCCGGCTCTCGTTACTGGACATTGTTGCAGCCACACAGCAGGGAAGGCAGCACAAAAACAGGGTGTGGGCCTGGGGCTTCGAGGAGAGCCCTGGTGAGGCCATGGAAGCGGCAAACAATTGGGTGTAGCATATATAAAAGGCATTTTAATGCAAAAACCTGTTTGCTGGAAGAGGGAATTTGGTGTTCATCGTCTTAGTTATGTTCCAAAACTAGCTTATAAAAATTGGGCTGTGGGGAGGGATGATCTTTATTTAGGGAAGCAGTCAACTCTACTACTGACCTCTGCTTAGGGGCCTATGCAGACTGGTTTTGACATGACCCAAGTTGGACCAGCAGCCATGAGAACTAGTTCTGTTTCACCAAACAGTCGCTGAGTGCCTTCAAAGGCCCCGTGGGAGGGGAGGAGGCAACTCAAGTGATCTTGACCCCAAACCTTCTACCTGAGCGCCCACACGAGGCTGCTGTTGTCAGGACCCTTCCTCACCAGCCACGGGATGTCCACCCTGCCCGGTACTCCTACCCTGTGGCCCTTTATCCCCGGGGGAACAGCCAGTCCAGAGAGGGCCAACAACTCAATTTTACCATCAAACACAGGCTCCCCCCAGAGCTGATAGTGGCCACTCCATCTCAGCTGACCCTGCCCTGGGACAGTTGGCAGCGGTGCAGTATCTGGTGCTCTAGAGAGCCAGTCAGTCTGTCCCACCTGACAAACCCAAGGGTCTTTTGGATACAGCTAGGTTAAGTATAAACACAACATTGAAAAGAAACATTTAAACTTTGGGCAGACATCCTCACGCCCAGACACAGTACAGTTCTGAAGACCCGAAGTACGAAGGGGCTTCAAAACTCGGGAAAATTCCATGATCTTTTTTCAGTTCCATTTCCCAACAGACTCTGAAGCCCCCTCATAGAAGTAGTTTGGGGGATGTGGTGTGTGTGTGTGTGTGTGTGTGTGTGTACATTTCCTATAGTGAGCCTTCATCACGCCCCTGGGCTGCAGGGCTCCCCAGTCATCATCCAGTCCATTCCCTGCCGGCTCCTGGGCGCTGCTGCAGCCAGGCCCCCCCTGGGCATCACGGGGGAGCGACAGCCCTAGGGCCCTCCACGGGAATGCGCGGGCCAACCCAGGAAATTCTCCCTGCACCCAGGCAGCGTTTGCGCGCTCTCCCTCGGGTTCCCAGGCATTCACCCTTGCTGTGGGGGGTGCTGGTTCCCCTCCAGGGCCTGCCCTTCCCCTGGCCGGTGAGTAAGCCTTCAGTCACTACGTGACAGAACAAGTTGCCCAGGTATGTCACTGTTTTCTAAAGTAGTGTCTCCCTCCGCTTGCTGAGTCTCTTGTAAGGACCATGCTCCTGCCGTCCCCTCTGGTCATACGGCCTGCCCAGAGATGATGGACTTGCGGGTCACTACCAACATCTGGCAGCTCAGAAGGGATCTGCCGTTCCGTCTTAGGGATGTGCCCGATGCTCCAGACACACTCAGCGGGCTCCCTTGCTCAACAGGAGTGACGAGGACGTGCAGGCCCCTACAGCCAGTTGAACTGCACGGTGCGTGCTTGGCCCCATCCCTCCATCCTTCCGCGTGTCCCCCGGGCTCTGGCCGTGGCCCCCTTGGGAGTGGCCGCATCTGCAGTTGTCTGGTGTTCTCAGATCACAACGAGACTGGTGGGCGCCCTGGCAGCTGCTCTGCTGCAGTACTGTCCACAGACGAGACAAGCTCTGCCCATCGGCAAGCCACTGTTGCTGACCCATTTCTTTGTTCTCATTTAATTCCGAACAGGGCCAGGGCTACCCCTCCCCAAACTTGGACTTTTGTGTCTAATTTATTTCTAAACTTTGACTTTAAATTCGGAGTTTAAAAAATGAGTTGCTCTGGTGACCTGAATTGGTTCCCCAGGCAACGGCGCTGGGGGCTGAGCCTTTTCTTCTGCTTTGTTCCCCAACCGGGCTGAAAGGCACGGCCCCACCCCTGCCGCCCCACCCCTGCGAGCTTGCAGCCTCAGGCCTGGCCCTTGCTTTCTCTGCTTGGTGCAGCTCCATGGGGCCACTTAGCAGCTCCTCCGAATGCACTATCTCCCCTCCCTCCTTGCTTTCTCAGACAAAGTAACCCAGTGTCAACGAGGGGCTTCATCCAATGACAACCCTACTATGTGTGGAGAGTTGCCCCATCCGGTTCGCAAGGCTGTGAATTTTTCGAAGCAGTCCGCCAGGCCTTTCTTTGAAGGACCTCTGGGTGGATTTCAACGACCAACCTGTCAGGTGGTCATCGAGCACTTAGCTGGCTGTGCTACTCAGGGACATAGTCAGGGGCCCGTCTTGCTCGCTGCCTTGCTCAGGGGCACATGTGCCAGGTTTTCCAAGTGGTCTTGTCCCTTGTTCCTCCAGCAATAAATAGCTCCTTGTAACTAGAACATACAGAGGCCCTCCCCAAGCCTCCCTCCATGTGGGGCACTCCCAAGTCTTGCCCTGAGGTGACCGAGCCACGGTATCTTCTCTCTCAGGCTGCCGCCTCCATGGTGGGCGCCAGGGCCACTGACCTGCACCAACCTGCCACCCTCCTTACCAAGGGCAGGCTCCAGACCAGGGGTCCTCAAACTTTCTAAACAGGGGGCCAGTTCACTGTCCCTCAGACCCGTTGGAGGGCCGCACTATAGTTTAAAAAAAAAACTATGAACAAATTCCTATGCACACTGCACATATCTTATTTTGAAGTAAAAAAACAAACGGGGCAAAAACACCCAGCGGGCTGGATAAATATCCTCGGCGGGCCGCATGTGGCCCCCAGACCTTAGTTTGAGGATGCCTGCTCCAGTCCATACTGCGCTTTGTGCCTCCCGCCGCCCCCCCCCCCAGGATACTTGTCCCATCATCCAACCTCTATCAGAGCCTGTGGCCTATGGAATTTCTCTAGAAGAAATTTGCTTCCCTATCCAACTGTATTCACCTCATTGCAGTGGGCCATATTTTTCTAACTATTCAAGAAAGATCTTATTCATCTACAACAGCCTTACAGTCATCTTGGTACCGATCATGTTCGCTTCATGATCCTGGGCTCGGGCTAAATTGGGGGAGAAGAGGGGGTGCCTTTCCATAAAAAGATTGCCTGGTTCTAGTATCAATTTGTTGACTTTGCAGAAACTGCGATATGGAAGCTGCAGACTACACCTGGATTGGTAGCGAGCTGAGTTTTATATTCAGGCAACCTGACCTCCGGGTCTGGACTGCTAACGCGTGCTCTGACCAGACATGAAAGTGTGTCTAAGCTGCCACGCTTGCCGTCTGCGGAATTAAGCAGGCGTCAAACCTGGAGAAGCAAGCCAAGTGGGTACTACTAGGGGTCACTGCTCTGTTCCACTCGGAAGTCACCAACCAATCCTCCTATGGGCCTGTGTAAATGTGGCCTTCACTGCGGACAGTTCCGTGAGGAGGCAGACTTCCCACGCAGGCCCTGGGCCCCAGCTGGTGGGCTGCTCAGGGCGTAGTGCGGCCTCTCTCCCGCCCAGCACCAGGGACAGACAGACACGCCTGCAGAGCGCCCTGCCCACCCTGACTCAGGGTAGCCTTTGCGGCTTTCTGGGAACCTGGCTATTGCCAGCTGCAAAGCGGGACAGGAGTTCATGGCAAGGTCACCCACTCCCACCAGCAATTCATTCTTCCCTCTAACAGCCAGACGGGCCGCTGACAATGGCAGGTCTGCGCAGAGTTCAAAGCCAGGGTCGCTGGGCCCGGGGCCTGGCTGGGCTGCCATGGGCTCCTTGTGAGCGCACCACCCTTGAAGCAGGGGGATGGGAAGGCAGGCCCGGGGAGGAGGCGTCCTTGCAGGCAAGAAGTGGGAGAAGGAGGCCTCTTGGTAAAACAGCATTTCAACAGGCAGGGGGCTCTCCCCTGAGCAGGCGGCAGCCTCGCCACCTCAGAAGGCAAGGCAAGCCGGCCCGGGGCCTGCGGTTTGCGCCCTTCTCCTCTCCCGGAGCGCCCCCAGCCTCGGGTTCCTTCCACAACTCGTGGGAACCCAACTTTGTCATCCTCCAGCCTGCTAGAGTCACGAGAGCGTCCTCGGCACATGGGCAGGTGTCTGTGTTTTAGATGGATCATGTTACCATGGCAAATAGGGTTTAAGAATTCCCAAAGGACAGACAGTGTCACCAACAGCAGAGAGGGGAGCCTCTGGCTGCCTTGTGTTTGAAAGTGTTAAAAAATAAAGACAACATTGACATTTGGGGTTGTAATGTGACGGAATTACAGTCTTTTAAAGGCAAGAACCACTTATCTACAGTACATGTAATATTCAGTGTTTTGTTCACTTGTCTAATTGGATTAAAATATTTAGCTCCCTTTAAAATCCTGATTGTGAATTTATATAGCAAAATGTAATGTCTGCCTTGGGAAGCAATAAGTGGAGCAAATGTACCTTTAGCATTGTGGGATTCAATGTATTTTCTTTCACGATTCTTATTCTGAAGTTATTCACTCTTGGACAAGATGAACTGTTAAAGAGCAAGTTTGGCTGGAGTGAAACCCTGTGTGCTTTTCAAGATTACGCACAGAGCCCTCAGCTGAAAACAAAAACAACAACAAGTGCAGCCGAGTGCTGCGGGAGGTGGCACGAGGCAGTCCCTCTGAGGGTCAGGTAGA